CGACCACAACAGCAAAGGCACACAACAACTCGCAACTGGCTATATGTTTCGACGGCTAGCCGACTGCTGTGTGCAGTACCAAACAAAACGAACACTTCGATACAATTCACTTTAGTTTGGTTGTCGGTATGTGTGTGTGTGTGTGTGTGTGTGTGTGTGCGAGTGTACGTATGTATGGTGCTTTGGGTGAATGTTAGTGTTTGGGCATGAGTTCTACTGTGTTGATTGTTGATCATTTCATGTGTGTCTGGTGAACGCGTTCGTATTTCGTTTTGCTCTCTAACACATACATTTCAAAGGAGTCTACTCTGTGTATCATGCCACCGTCGTTACATACAACACAACGCTCACAAATGATTCAACACTGTTGAAAGTTGATGATGAATATTTTTTTGTTGCCTGTGTCTAACGAATTGCTGTGAGGTTCTGTTCTATAGTGTGCCGGCATTTTAACCTTTTTTATAATTATGTTTTTAGTTTTTCGCTGTACGAACTTTACTGAGTGTATTTTTGAATCTATCATTATCTCTTTCATTCCATGATTCGCACTATTAGCTCAGACAGGGGCACCTCACACCATCACTGTGTTCTTCGTCGATTCTCCTTGCTTTTTTTACAAATTTTTTTTCTTCCATTCCTTTTTTTCGTGTTTATCTGTTTGCAAAGTTCGTCAACAGCTATCACTGTGAAAAAGTGAGTTCATACTGGTGATTTGCCCTTGCCGAGTCTCGCGTACGTTATCGCATTCGACGAATGGCAACGAAGAAAAATTATTGAAGACGGGCAATCGTTTCGGTTTGCCGCTGCCGAGCTATTTGTTACACATGCATACAGATGAAGAAGGCAGGAAAAAAATTTGTTATGCACCCAGCGTTTGTGCAGCAGAACGTTACATTTCGACGAAATCGAAAATTTTGCACGCTGAATGCCGCTGCCGCCGTCGTTGTTGCTTGTGCTGCTGCTATAGCTTTAGTTTCGCGTTCCATCACACCGCTCAAATTGCGTGTTTGGTATTTTTTCGGTCGCAGGTCGTTATACACACATACGGCAAAGATTGCAATGCATTTTATTTATATTGTGCAATAAATTGAAACTCATAAATATGAAGCTCTCTCTCTTGAGCGAGAAAGAGAGTCTTTGACTCGATGACTTTTGCTGAAATGCGTAGCAAATTGTTAACATTTTGATGAAATGCAACGAAGAGAATATTCGCGTGTTCTTGGTTCAAGGACAGCTGTTTGCTGGTGATGTAGTTTTGGTTTACTCTGCACAACCACTTCAAACAATGACCTTTTTCAGCTACCGAACATTGCTGTGTATTGCACAGCAGTGGCTTAACATCGGCCGTGCGGCCGCTTTGTTTACACGGTAAAATACCCAGATAGAATCTATTGCCAATAAGAATCGTGCACAAATGCTTCGTTTGCATTGAGGATTCCATTCAATACCGAAACCAACAAGACCGCTGAAATCCGACGAAAAACTTGTTGCACACCGAAAAAAACACATACTCGCAAAGCACTCATAATTATCTTGGCGAACCGATCGTTCTTTATGTATTATGTAACGAAACGCTTTCGTCTGCACAATGCTGCCGCTGACGCTGCTGCTTCTGATGCAGACTTTTACTAAACGAACACGCTTTCGCGTTGATTTATTTAAATCGAACGGAATTCGTTCACTTCTTCACTTTGCAATCAATGCCAGCGAACGGAAAAAATACACACAAACGAACGAAAATTTAAAACAGGATATTTTTTTTTATTAATTTTGACCTGAGGATATGTTTTTAAGACTTCAGTTTTTGAGCGAAGGCATACTCAAAACCGATATGTATATTCATTATGTAGCATGCGATGTACAAACGAAAGAGTTAGATAAACACTCACATAAATCTTGGGTCCGTAAATAATTTGTAGTTGAAACACATGCAATTATTCTCGCTTGTTGTTGTTGTTTCTTCCGAAGAATCACTTTTTTATTTGGTAATTTGGCTCATTGTATGGAAAAAGCAGTGAAAAAGGAATTGAATAATGCCAAAAAATTGATTGTTCGCCTGGTCTTTTTGTGGTGTGTGTGACCAAAACTAAAATTGGCAACATAACAAAAATAAATGGTTTTATCCTCTTTGTCTCAGATTTCATTTTTCGCTCTCGTCATTCTGTTTTCATTCATTGCACTACAAGATTGACGGGGTTTCAATGTTATTGGCATGCAAATGTGAACCACAAAAAAGGTCGTTTTTTGCGATGATCAACATTCAAATGTTCCTATATCGAAACAGCACAGCGTCAATCGAATGCTAAGAAAAGGCTATGACATCATCACCGACAAGAGAAAAAGAACCATTAATGTTGTCCATGGATTTAAGTCGTTCTACCGTGAACCAAAGCTTGTCTTTGCTCGAGCCCATTTTTTATAGCATTTTATGCAGAAATTTTTATTGATAGAACAATCTACGGCTACTTCCATTAGCAATGAGTTTGCGTCTTTTTTTTCGTGTAGCTTCCACGATCTAATACTAATTCGCGGCATTATTTACGAGATTGTGTTTATTTCTGATATTGCTTGTCTCAGCTGAAACAGTTATGACATTCAATATGTTATAAAATACGTACAATAATAGCAACAACAAAACAAAAATGCTTGGCTCAAGTCGCATTCATTGGTTTATCTTCATCCTTTGTAGTTTCTTATGATTATCGCTTGCATAAATTTCATTAATATCTTGACAGTTATAACTTTTTTGCGCGACGCAATCGCGTACGGAAATTTCTATATTCACATGTTTACGATGAGATGCCATTGTTTGGAGTGAAAGAAAAATCCAATTGAATTAAGCGGAAACTATTTAGATATACAGATGGAGAGTATGTACGACTGTCTGACGATGTAAAATCGAGCACATGCAACACGTGAGACCGCATCGCATCGTATCACAGCGAATATAACGAAACGATCACCGTAAAATATGTGTGCAAAAATTTAATACATTTTCAGCCGGAGAAATTTCAATGGGCCATGAATCATTGTCGCACTAAAGCTGACAAACAACTAACACTGGCAATCTATTTGGCAACGGGAGAGAGACATTGCAAGGCGAACAAATTTTATAAGTCAGTCGCGTGAGTAAATTAACGGAAATTGATGACGACATTTAATCGCTTTACCTGAATGATGAAAAAAAAAGAAGAACAACAACGGCGTGGCTTATCTATGGACAATGACTCAATTGCATCAACATGGTTTGCAATCTAATCAGCAATTATCCCAGCCCACGGCCAACCAAAAACAATCAACAAACAAAGTAAAAGTGCTTAAGGCTTCCGCGCACATAATCCAAAGTTGGCAATCATTTTAAAAATGTCATTACAACCTAATCCCATTGCAATGGGGATCGTCAATTATTTTCCTTCCGTTTTTTCCGATGCTCATAAACAAAGTGACATTTTGCAAATGAAATTTACACTAAAACAATAATTGCTTTCGAATGTGATGGGGCCAAAATTGAAAAGTTTGTATAAAAGCCTCCCAGTAGGTGGCTGTTAACATTTCATTTGACACTTTTAGATGTTGATGTCGTGATAAAACCAGCCAACATGCCATGGAACATGGGCTGAAAAAGTCACTCCATATGTAAAAAAATATAAATTGTCGATTGAGGTCGATGGCGCATGTAGTAACGAACCGTTTTTTTAGTTTCGTTTTGTTTTCATTCGAATGCTACATACAACTCGATCGAAATGGTAGCGAGCGGCCGTAATTACTTGCGCGCGCAAAATATACGATGTGATGAAAAATCTAATTTTCATTTAGTTTTATCTTGTTTACGTTTCAGTTGCGTTGGCAATGCCATATGGACAATAGCGCGCCAGAATGGAGCTCGCGATCGATCGTCGAAGACAACAGTTAATTCATTTTGGCTTTTCAATTAATTTTTTTCCCTTTAAGTTATTTTTTTTGCGAGCGAGCGATTGATGAAAGTGTAGCTTTCGCCAGCGAAGCGAACCGATTTGAAAAATTTTCACCAAGATATTGATAGCATCTGGGTGAGTGTGTGTGTGATTCATGTTCGTGTGGCGTGGATTTTCATGTCGATTGACGTTTTGATTGTGTTTTGCATGCAAATCGGACGGTCATGAAATGCGGCACAAACCTATTTGATTTAATCAGAACAAAAAAAATCCATAAAAACAGATTTGTAGGCACACGCGAAACGCACATGGCTCTCTCTTGCTAGCTGCTTGCATTTTACTCAACTCGAATCCGTTTTCTTTCACTTGTGCGAATTTAGTGATATCGACAACAAGTCAGACCCACATGCTAGCCGATTAAGACGTTGGCCGTAGACGACGGCGATTGGATTATGATATTTTTCATTTTTTTAATAATTTTCTTGGCAGTGCAATGGTCTTATTTTACGATTGGTTAATTGATCTATGGCTCCGGTTTAATGCAAATTTGCCACAAGCAATTCGTTTTATGCACCACTTATCGCTGTTTACGATTTTCAATATTATTTATTATTATATGCATTTCACTGTTGCGATTTGTTTGTTTGAAAAGGAAATCATGAAGTCGCAAGTATCACAAATCAAAATTCACCTTTGTTTTCATTTCAGCGTATAGTGGTCAATGTGTGTGTATGATCGCATTTTCATACGTGATATATTTTCACATGAATGAATCATTAATTATGAACTCGGCGCTAATCAAACAGCCATGATTTTAATGCGCAGCAGGAAACGAGACGAAGCAAAAATGCAATGTGTCAATGATCTTACTGATTTGATTACAAACGTAACGAACACTTTTTTTATAACGAAAAAAATGATAGCGTTATGAAAGCGAAAGCAAGCACCTGATCTAATCCATCAAAATGTTTGTTTTCTTGCTTTTATTTTTGTTGCTATTTCTAACGGAATGTTTTCTTACGCTGGAGCATATTGTGAAAAAACAAGAAAAAATTGGATTTGGAAAAAGTGCGGAAATCCACTCACCTCGTTCTTTTTCTGTAATCTTTCTAGTTCAAAGTCTTTCATTTTTATGGCATCAGAAATTGTAGGAAATTGAGCCAGTTGCTTTTCCATTTCACGCAACCAAAGTCTCAAACGCTTCAAATCAACAATGTAATCATCGGACTGCTTTCCCCCGTTTATCTGCAATTAACAACATACAGTTAAAACATTCCCGCATCCAATACATTTCTGGCATATTATCAAGCGGGCATTCGATGGCAAAGTTCGGAATTTACCTTCTTTTGGTCTGTATGACTGGTTTCGGTTGAATAGTTGCGTTCCAGTTCTCCACGCGCTTCACGGCAGCTATCGATCAGATTTGTGTCCATGATGAAGTTGTAATTTGATTGCAATGCCAACCAGAAGTCATCCTTTCCAACGAAACTCTGGTTGCTGCCCCAAGAACTGCGCCAATCTGATCGATCTTTCTCCGGATTTCGCTCTTTCTGTTTGGTTTCGAGAATGTGGAAAAAAAAACTATTTTATTTCAAAAAAAAAATATTGATTTATTGAAATAAGGATTTAAATATTGGATTTGTGCTATCGATTGTTCAATAAATAAACAAAGTTGTTTGAAGAAAAGATTGCGCGTTATCAAATAGATTTGAATCTATAGCTGAATACAAAAAGACGCTGAATATTCGCTGGAGTTGGAAGAAGGTTGGTAAATACTTCAAAAAGTATTTCTTCAGCTTTTGGACTTTAACAAACTTCCACGGGGAAAAATGAAGAAAAGAAAGTCGAAAGCAGGAAAAAAAAGATCGCGAAAGAGGTGCTTTCGAGTTTCAACAGATGGCGCTCACCGCTAACGAAGTCTCAAACCCAAAACTTGAGTCTCTCATCCAAGACAACTCAAAATGCCTCAAAAGCGCCACCTCTTCGTCAACGACGGAACTTTATCAATTCCGGGCAATTCGTATTCATTTCAAACAATAATCTCGAAACAAGTTGAGCAAGTCCATTAATAATTCACATTAAAAGGCTTTTTTCTATTTATATTTTTCTATCGATAGTAATGGTTGTTTGTGAATTTTGATATTAAATCAAATTTACTGATCGATTGTTCCAAAAACCTGATTAAAAATGAAACGATTTCATTGCTGCATTTAAGTTCATTGCGTTTTAAATGACGACTGGTGTTCATGTTCGCTTTAGAACTAGATTGTAATATGAAACTTCGAAGCATGTGCATTAGTTTAGTTATTCTTGTACACAGAACGAAAATATGTATGAGTCGAAAAGTTGTTGTCGGCTTGAAAAGGCGGAAACTTGGTATTCGAAACATGCAACACCGGCTGGCTCACTACCGTTGATTCTCTTATGCAGATAGTCTAATTGCAATGCATTTGGGCGGCTAGACACACAAATATGCTATCACTTTATGCAAACTTCTAGCGCTTTTACTAGCGCCTTTTCATTCATTATTCAAGACCGATTGCAATTGCATTGTTTCCCCATTTGCGCATTGTTTGCGTGTTTCGAATGAAATGACGAAAAGTAAAAGGGATATACTGTTTCACATAAACTGGATAGTAGTCGGTCATGTCATTTGAAATGCACCGGGTTTGTATGAACAAAAAAGAGGACGACGAGAAAATGTAATTATCGTGAAATGCAAGGACAAGCACAAGCAAATATTTGACATGAATTAACTCTTTTTTTCACTATCGATTTTACGCTGTCGATTTGTGGAAGGATTAAAGCGTTTTTACTTACCTTGAGACTGTTGTATGGCCGTTCGATGAGGACTTTAGCAGCGATTGATGAATCACTGACATCATGATCGCGTCCACCTGATGTTGGTGGCGGAAGCGATATCATTGATACTGACTGTTTCATTGGACTAGTTGAAAGGGTTTGCTTATCAGTCATTGAAGTTTCCATTTTTGTGTTAATTCAGTGTGTTTCTCCTTTTTTATATTGGCAACGTCGTTAAGAAAATTCTTCTCTTAAAAAAAGACCAGATTCAATTTCAGTTCAAACTGCTCGAGTTGAACAATATGTGTGTTTAGAGTGTGTCTCGTCGGTTTGGAAATTGGTTTCAATTTCGCTACGAGAGATCGTCCACTCGTTGGGATCACTTTTCTAAAGTTCGATTTACGTACACCTCTGTTCAAAAGGTGAAGTGCAAATGAATATAGCAAGTTGGGTGCTGTCTGTGCTCTTTTTTATTGAAGAAATCAACTGTTCTTGGATGTTATTGGTGTTTGTTGATGTTTGTTTGCAAATAAATTGCAATCGGTTGTTCAATACACCATTTTGTATGGATCAAGTGTTCGTCCTTCTCCTAATTCAACGGGCGATGTCTTCGTCTGGTTCGGAACGGATTTGACAATACCGATTCGCAATTTGTCGATTCCTCTCGGCTGCGTCAGGTGAACTCTTGGATTTCTGTAATGGAATGTAAAGAAAACCATAAATTTCAATTCAAATTATGGATCAATTAATCGATTGAAGGAAAATGTCACTGCACATATGCAACTCTCTCTCTCTCCCTCTCGTTTAAACTGCACCGAAACCGAATCCGGTGTGAATGTAACACACTCAACTTATCAGCCCAACAAATATGTTGTACTAATGATGTTCATTATGGAAGATCGTGGCACGATCGTAGTGCTAATAACAAAAATAAATACATTGGGGCCGTTGTGATAGAGGGAGGCGGTTTCAAGTGTGTGGTTCGATATGGCTATATCAAATTTCCTTTCATTCACAAGAAATGTGGCGTCGATACTCGTTTCTGATACATACAATGATGATGAATGAACTTTGATTGAAGCTTTCCATCCACACACAATCGAGCGCAGCCGAATACCATAAAATTCCATAAAAACCGCACAACTCACAAAAACCACAAATTCAATCTGATCTGATGCGATTCCCGTAATTTTCGATTTAATACGCGCGTCGCACACGTTTCGAACGACGATGGGCAAATACAAAATATATAGCTAATAAGTCATGCGATGAAACAACAAATTGGTTGTTGTTGTTGTGGTGCAACAAACGTGCAAACATGTGCAATGTGGATTTGGATTGGCTTTCGATTTCAATGAGGTCAGATCATGAAACTGTCACGCAACTTGCTTAAATCATTTTAATTTAATGTATCCAATTCATTTTATGCCGGGCTGCTCACCAAAATTGCCGGCTCATTTCACTTTCAAAATGGGAGTGATTGGAAATGAGCTCTAGGATAAAATGCGTTTCCGTCGGAATCAAAGTACACAAACGTAATTAAGTGAGACTTTGAGTTTATGAATGATATTGACCCCAATGGCCTTTGATCAGTTTCAGATTTCTGACAAAAATCTCCATAATTATAGAACACACCTAGCCCAAATTGAACCAATACGCAGATAGCCTTTGACTCGAACAGCCGAGACACAACTCCGTCTGGTTGCCATCTGTTCATTAGAAGTATTAGCCGGTGCAATGAACCTGATGGTAAATTTTCCACCGTCGTAATTTGTTCGCTTCGCAATGCACAAATGTATCTTTCGGTCGGCAAATTTAATAACCGAAAAAATTGCCGTCGTTTTACTCTTACCGCACAACATAAATATCGTATCGCAGTTAAGACGAAATAAATGAAGCACACCGAATGGCACAATAAATTATGAAAATGTGGTTCGAATCGACGGCGTGTACATACTGCATAATGGTCAGCTACCGTAGGCTTTTATCGATAATTTTAATCTTGTGCAACGTACAAACCGTTATAAATTCGAGTTTAGGTAGATAACCGTTATCAACAGAGCGCGCGAGCTCTATGTGTACACATATTTCTTTCTTCATGGCCGTGGTGCATGTCGCGCGGTCCGCGTTATGTGCTCTCTTCACACAAAATTGGAGGCACGTAGACAATTCATTTTCATCTCCGTTGCAATCCATATTTAGACATTGGAAGTATCAGCATATAAATTGCACATTTTCGCTTCATTCTGAAGCAGCTATTTGACGCGCGCGCTCGCACGAACACACACATACTTTTGTAAAATGCTGAGTGTCTCTATCTCTCTCTCTCTCTCTCTATCTCTCTCTGTGTGTGTTTGCTCTCCATTTGATGAGCGCTTCTTTTCTCTTTCAAAAGAAGTGTGGCCACGTTGTTTTAGTTGGCGAGACAAAGCTGCAAAAGTGTTGGAAGCAGCATACGGAAAGAATAAATCGACACGGCTCGCGCGTTGTCAGTTGGAATATACTAAATATAGAATGTGTTTTATAATAATAATTCTGTACTTTGATCAATGAGATCAAAATCAGCAAGCATTTCACATGACCACAGAAATTGGCGTGTACACTGCACACTCACAGCACACCGCAACTCGCGCGCATTGCTCAACTGTCGCTGATGACAAACATCGAGACAAACAAACTATGTACAGAACATTGTCGCTTGCACATTACTCACTCGTTTTTATGGATTGCGGATGATTCATCCACCAGATAGGCCATCTTCTAATAGATTATGTACATTATTTTCTTTACAACGTGTACACTCTTCACTGGGTATGTGTAGGTTTTTTGTTGAATGTGGCGAAGAAAAGAAAAAAACCGTCCACGACTTTTGCACGGAACAAAATTCTATCGAAAGAAAATCAACGTGGAAAACCGGTTCCTTTTTCTGTAGCAATTCTCTTTCAATTCGATCGGCACGGAAAGAAGAAGAAGAAGAAGAAGAAAAAACAATTTGAAATATGATTGGCAATCAGTGTGGTGCTGATGATGATGCTGCTGCCGCTGCTGTGGCTGCAGTTGAATACAGGAAGAAAAATCCCGAGACGAACATGCAATGTGCGAACTCACACACAAGCATCTCCAATGAACTGGAAATATGAAATTGAAAAATACGAACCATTCAAGAGAACAACACATTATCATAATGGAGTAGCTAATTGCTGGTTGGATCGCGATCGCGCAATCCGATTATTATTACAAAACAACTAATGATGACAATAAGCACATGGTTGGGTGTATCTCTCTCTGTGTGTGTTTGTGGATTATTCGGTTTGCATAACAATCGATGGTTGTATTTTTCGTTGACCATGTGTTTGAATACACCGCACAATGAATGCTTTTACAATAGAAATGTTATATATCGTCACTTTTGTTTGATCGTTTAATTTACCATTGAACAGAAACGCGATTCAAATGAAAATGTCTTCACAGCCACCGCATTTTTTTTCTTCGCTTTTCAAAAACTGACTCTAATCTGCAATGAAACTAGACCCTCGAGTTGTTTCAGAGCCCACATCAGACTCGGAAGTGATAGTTTGGACACTATTTTCATGATTTATATTTTTGTACGTACAAAGTTGTTATCAATCCCCTATCAAGCAGTGCCATTATTTCCATTGAAATATTGTTGGATTTATTTTTTCTGAGATACGATCAAAAGCCATTTCTATTTTGATCAGGTTTCATACGAAGCTGAATTAAGAAAACCATACATTCAAGACGTTGTGAATAGTGGCAAAAGGAGCTCTTTTTCTTGTCGCCGCTTGTAACTAATTTTGAGAATGAGGGAGTTGACATGCTTCAAGAGTCCCCAACTTCAGCCGAACTCACTTCATTTCACGCTAGTGAAAAAAAAACGGCGTAAAATAAAAATTTATTGGCGTTTCATTTTTCGTTAAAAAAAAAACACGAAAAAAGACCATATGATCCAGACGAATAATTATGGGGAACGACAGGCCGCATATAGAAAGTGTCTCGTAAGATGTATTTTAATGAATAGAGACGGATTCAATAACAGTAAAAAAAAACAGATGGCAAACTCCCGAACGCACTGTGAACGTGCGGTTTTATAGGCCTTTTATGATGTACTTATCATATTTGAACACACATATTCAATGTGCTTTCTTTTATTCGGAATATTTTTTCTGTTGGGAATAGCTGCACGATTCGAAGAGTTTGTAAGCGACAATGCAGAAAATTCGTGTGATCGGCACATTTGAAACTTTGCGGGGGAAGATTTATGCGTTTTATGCACGTCATATCAAACGCCTGGAATTTTTTTCTCCATAAAAACAGGGAATTCGTCTTAGATATGAACGGTTTGAAGCGAAAATGTAATACAGAAAAGTTGAGCGGAAAAATATCGATGATGAATGAGCGGAAAAAGGATATCTATATAGTAAACTGTATAGTGAACTATATAGCTATCTCTTTTCATTTGACATTTTTCCGCTCAACTTTTCTGTATTACATTTTCGCTCCAAACCATTCATATATCAAGGAACATGGAGTAATGTCTTTTTTTTTCCTTTGTGACTTCCGAACACACAAATTTTCGGAATAGCTCTTACTCATTTGTTTCGGCCAAAAGATGGTGATTCATGCAGAGTCACATTTTATTAAATGTTGAAAATAAATTAATTCGTTTATTCAAGAGCTAGAAAGAGGGATAATTCAATTGCGGCCTTTGCTACATACAACAAGTCATCGACCTCACACGCAACCAAATCTATTGCAACCAAATTCCACCGGCTATGCAAATGAATTCGAATACTTCTTCAACGGTTCGATCGAAATTGTGAAACGGCACTTGATTTTGAGCTCCTTTTTTGGTAAAATGCCCAAAAATGTTTCGTTTGTCAAATGACTAAATTTTACGTCGTAGTTTCACATAATTCTGTCATTCACTTTCTTATTTTCTATATTTAGAATTTGATTGAAGTTGATCGTTGCTGCTTGGTTATTGGCTGCTGGTCGGTCATTTGAATGAACGAATGAATGAATGAATGAATGAATGAATAATCGCGCGCTCGGCAGGTGTATCTATGGTTTTTCGATTGGCAGGTAATGTGTAATGTGACACTTTAAGGTAACCGTACTTGTACTGCTGCATGTATATCACTCGGAACCAGTGCATATCGTTTGGCTGCATTTCCGTAAAGTGTTACACAGGGCCTAAAGCCGGATCGGTTACTAAGTAAAAGCAATAGAACTCGTTCCAAATGCATTAAACAAGAGAGACAATGTTCAAACAAAAAGAGTGGCGAACCATAAATTTTATAAATTTATAGGTGCTTTTAAGCAGCGGCCACGATGATAGCAGCAGTGGTGGCGGCGACGGTGGTCGTCATCAACTCAAGAGAATGCTGCACTTGCTTATGAGTGTTGGGCGTGAATGTGCCGAAAAAACAAAAAGATTATAATGAAATCGGACATGTATGTTGGTTTTTATGAAACATCGACCGCCAATTTAGCCAAGCGTACATTAATCAATTTTTACGATCACTTCACGTCGTTGCATAAAAGCATTTGTTTTTCTAAACTTGTTAAGAGAAACACTCACACACACACACACACACACAAAAACTCGGGCTCCGGAATAGAAAAAAAATCGACTGAACAATTTGATGAAAGTAAGAAAAATGTGTAAAACG